GGACACTCTCTCAAAAACGAAGTAAAATGATTATCGTAATCAAACATCGTCGTCATCGCTATAATTGTCCCACAATATTAAGCATGCAAAAATGCAATGAGAGTTTGTTACAGCGACTTGCTTTTCTTTTTTTTTTTTTTTAAACCAGGTCCAAACATAGCAAAGATATCCTAATGATATAAAAATACGCGGTCGTTACGTAATAAGGAATATAATGATGAGTAATATCGTTAGTATCACAGTCAATGCGAGACCCTAACGAGTTACAGAGTCTGACGTGTTCGGTAATGCCTCGAATCATCGTACGAGTCTAAAGGAAGAAAAAGAACGAAAATCTGAAAGAATATCGCGGAGATACACAAAAATTCGAAAATTACTCAAATTATTATAATATATTTTTATATTTTCGCCTTTACTTAATGTATTTATTAATGATTATTAGTAATATGTATATATATATATATTTTGATGCAACCACATGTGGCACCACCGAACCGTAATTCGGGCAATTCTTTGGTGAGTCCTCGGTGATGGTAGAGCGTAGACTCTAGAGATGATAGACCGTATCGCTCTTTTCCTCTTCCTCACGAACAGGCGCACTCCAGCACCTGGATACTCTTCCAGTAGGACACCTTCAGGTGCGTCGAATCGTTTTCGTCGAAGTAGACGATCCTCAGTTGATCGAGCTTGCTGGGTGCGCAGCATGGCTTGGGTACCCTCTTCCGGTCCTCCTTCCACAACAGGCTTTGTAATAGCGCATGGTGATGCGCCGGATTGTAGCGAGGCGGGCAACGGCCCTTGCAGTATCCGGCATCGAAACCTTTCGGATACACGATGAATTCGAAGCCCTCCAAGTCCTTGAACATCACCGTCAATTCGTGCCGGCAGCACTTCTTGTTATTGTCACCCTTGCACTTGCTACGCCGACCCTTGTGCAGCGGCATCAGCTCCTTGAGCGTGGATCTCTTCCTCCTGCCACCCGATTCAAACGCGATGAACACGTTCAAGGTCGTGTAGGAGATATCGCGCCGAGTCGGACGGCCGTCGTGAAGGAACTCCAGCTCGAGACCGTAGTTGTCCAGGTTCCGCTCGAGCCAGCTAGCGGCCGCTTCGGTGAAATCCAATTCGAGCCATCGGGAGTCCGTCGTGTGTCTCTGTGAAATTTTGTGCCGTAGCAGAAGACGCTGGGAGATTGGCGTGCGGATGTAAACTAGGACTTCCAGATCACGCGGGCGTCTATGATCGCCTTGAAGAAGGAATCTTAAAGACGCATGATCGACCGTGACGTCTTCTTCGGTGTCATGGGAAACCGTGACAGGAAAGTACAGGAAATGACGGTGATTCCCTCCTTTCCAGTTTACGCTTGATCTGTTCCCCGGATGCTCTGCAACAAGAAACGCAAATCCATTAATGTATTATACACGAGTATTACGTAAATGAAAAATTATTCGCGTCATTAGGCGATTACTTCTTTAAACTGGACAACGAATTTTATATATGTATACGATTATTAGAGAATTTTAATAACGATATATCATGTGTGTAAAAATAGTATGAAATATTACAAATTACACACTTCAGCAAAGAATAATTTTTTTTCGAATAAAAAAACATGTCATCTTTTGTTGACACTGAATAAAATTTTAGTTTTGCTCATTCATCTTATACAATTTTGAGAATGTTGCGGTAAAAGTTGAGAAAAATAGCTATCTTAATGTAGAACTTTGATTACATGATAATATAATTAAAAAAACGCTATAAAATATTCAAAGAATCATACAGAATAAGAGATTGTCTATATTAATTGATACGAAGAAAACATTCTTGATCCATTTAGATTGTAATTTAATTCTCGCAACAAAATGATACGGAAGGCTGCGCAAGAGTTTTGCTCGTAAGCGTGACTCAGTTTCTTTTTGTCGCGATTGTCAACGTTTGTGTTCTTTCTATACCTCGAGAGATTTACAGATTATATCCACGGTAAATTTCGAAAGCGAACAACAATTCGTCTATTGTCTGTCGTTTATATCGCCACAACGGAAACGAATCTTTCCTTGATTCTTACATATAAAAATGCAGAAAAGCTCGAGAAAAAACATGAATCAATTTAAATTCGATTCAAGAATATGTAACACATTTTACAAATATCATCCTATATTTTTTTCCCAAACAAATCGAAATTACGGAGAAACTTTGCCTCTATACAGTTATATGATTTTTGAAAAAAAAAAACTTTACACATTATTTTTTAATATTAAATTTCGGATAAATGTTATAAATATTTTTGCAATAAAATAATAAATCTGTGTATAAAAGATCTCTATATAATGTAATAATACATATATAGTATTAATATATATAATATTATATACCACTTCTACATGTAATAAATATAAATAATTATTGATCGTACAAATTCTTCGAAATTAAATTGGAATGAACTAACTCGGAACGTGAACTGTCAAGCAATTAATTAATGGGGGAGTAATAAAAGAGAAATTACGGTGTGTTAAGAGCCGGGGCATTTTAAAAGCGTATTACTTAAATAACGACAGGAACTGTTGAATTCCCGTCGATTCTCTCGCGAGAGCATGTAACAATTCTCACGCGTATTTGCGACTGCAGATGCACCCGTTCGCATTCTGCAGCGTCGTTCTGCATTCCTGCTCTAGGATATCTCTATAATCGCCCACGTATATTGGCAAGGAATATTTTCGCAAATCGCCTACCGGATGGAATACTCGTCGCGCATAAACAAATCTCGATCTCTGAGTCACGAAACTATTCGGTATATTTCGGCCTTCCGACCAAATCGGCATGTATAAGAAGCATTATTGCCGATCACGCGGAGATGTTTTAGAGATGACACAGAGAAAACCCAAATTTAATCCCTTTTGACGTTCGCGTAATGTATACCTATAAAAAAACCTTAATATTAAATTTATTTATCGAAGTTTGTTTTTTTTTCTGTTCCACTTCGCTTCTGAGTTTATGTGGGAAATAACTTTCATTTTGTCAAGAGTAATTAAAAATCTTGTATGAATATAAATTTCACAATAACCATTAGTTCATCCTGAATATATCCTCATTTTTCTAACGCGTATTTTATTTTTTCTTAAAATATATCGCCGAAAAAAATTGATCGCGCGCCAATATATTGTAAACAACACATCTTCGGACGAACGTTCTAACAATTAATAAGATTTACTCCGAGAAAGAATTTGTAAATCGCTCGCATTTCGGCGGCAGTAAAAGTCACATTCTGAAGCGTGCGAGAATCGAATCTAGAATCTAAAATAGGATAGAGGAGATAAATGTTTCAGAGAGAAAAAGAGAAAGAATAAGAAACTCGGCTCTCACATCGTCCCTTTCTTTCTCTATCTCTCTCTCTCTGGGCACTGATTAAATCTTATTTATGAGGGCCGGACGGCTCCTTAGGAAAACTCTCGCGGAGTCATTAATTATCCTTCACGATATATGTATATACACACCGGCAATCACACACCGCGTTTTCCGAGCTTGTCACGGCATGTTTAATTGGTTGGTGTCGTTATTACGGATGCCGCGATAATTACAAGGATTTTGGGCGTCATAAAGGACGGAAGAGTCTCATGCGCATTGTGAGAAAAAGGAAGTGCAACGTACTTATAATTAAAGCGACGCGATAGCATGATTACGCCACACTTTCGTCCGAAATACTACAAGTATGATTGTGTTGGGGTTTATCTGTTTTTTATTTAAATTTATTTTGTGAAAAAATATGTATATATAAATTAAAACGAAGAATCTACTAAAGTGTATGCGTTTCTTTTATTTATCTCAAATAATTCTTTTCGCGTGAAATTTTTGAATAGTTACAAGAATAAAGAATTGGCACGATTTGTGGAAAAACAATGTTTATATTCCTCGAAATCCGCGTTTTTTGTGAAATTTCAAAAATAAATAATCAATTGGCGACACTTTAACAAAATTTCTCTCGAACGTATAACACTTTTATTTCAACAATAATAAACGCGCAATTTATTAATGTATGCACAACTGAGATATATGTATATTGTAGAAATATATATATATATAATTCTATCGATTTAATCATATGATAATTCCTAATATATTATGCGCTATATATTATTGAATAATAATATACCTCTTTTGCATGTAAAAATGTGAAAAATAAAAATGAGTAGTACAAAAGAAAGTAAGACTCTTTCACGCGCAATTTATTAATTATATGCACAACTGAGATATATGTATATTGTAGAAATATATATATATATAATTTCTATCGATTTAATCATATGATAATTCATAATATAATTATGCGCTATATATTATTGAATAATAATATAAACCTCTTTTGCATGTAAAATGTGAAAAAATAAAAAATGAGTAGTACAAAAGAAAGTAAGACTCTTTCACACGGTTCGCCGCATACTCAGAATGCGTCACTGATTAACGCTCTTATTTATGGTGTCGCACAATTAGAGGGCTGCATCGCCGCGTAAAGAAAATTCGTGACGCCGCTCGACTTTTAGGGCCTGATATACATGTACTCTGCCCTCGGCTCGGTTATCACGTTCCTCGAATAATTTATCCGACGACGAGCCAACACACCGCCGCCTCGTCGTTTCACATGTTCGGTATAGAATTGTCCGCGTTACCATTTTTATTCTTCCTCCCCTATTTTCCGTCTGTTTTTCGTGCGGCATCACGGAATTCTCTACATTTTTAGAAAACGAGGGCAATACTTTTTAATCCTCCGTTCTCCAAATAGATCGACGTCTATTTCTGCAAATTTCCTCACGTAATCGAATAAAAAAAAAAGCGGATTTTGTAAACATTTAATACATACACGTGCAATATACTAAAAGTACCAGATGTTCTCTCAATTGCGGATTCTTATTTACGAATTTTAGACGAAGTGGAAGAAGTATGACTTTATATTTTTGTATAATTATAACAAATTAATAATTCTGTGCATTTCAGTTAATTAAAATATATATCTACTTTTGTCATTTATTTATATTAAAACAAAAATTTGTAAAAAAAGAACTTTAACTTAATCTTTTCAATTATTATTATATATCGCAATCAATTTTATACGGAATACAATTTTCACTAAAAACCTGGATTTTATAGTCACTAAGCCAAAGAGATCTTTCTGTATATAATTAAACCTTTATGCATATAATTAAGAGAATATTTAATTTTTAAGCACTGTGTAAAATTGTATGAAAATCTATTTATTTTGATTTGTAATTGACACGTTTACTCTTTCAAAATCCAATGTATTCGGTGAATGTAAAATGAATTGGATTTATGTTGCATATCAATCGACAAATCAATCCATCATTCTAACACTTAAATGTTTCCCTAGAGATGTTTCTTAACAAACACGTGCGTCGAATAATTTCAACGTACGTGCATTTCGATGAAATCATTCGGGTTTGTTTTCTCAAGGCATGGCAGAACGAAAAAATCTACTTTTAGAGAGATGTAGATACTTTTAGAGTATCATGTTTATGTGATACACATTGTGTGAATGATGGCTCAATCGAGAACGAATTGAGTCATTAATCTTGTGTACTATTTATCTTCTCTAATTAGATACATCGGGTAATTTGATTTTCTTTATTCGATTAAACACAAGCAAATTTGCTCATTAATGCGATGTGACGCTTGTTTATATCTTCTTTGTAACGTTATCAAGAAACTATTGTAGTTAAAATTAGCAAAAATCTATTGATAATGTGAACGGGAAATGCTCGATAAGTATATATATTTATCATTGACAATTGCAAGTCTACATTTATACAAATCTTTTATTATAACATTTAGTTACTATTAAGATAAAAGAATAAAAATAAATATTGCGAATCCTCCTTTTATCCTGCAGAAATTCTTTCAGTTTTTAAGATTGCATCATTGTATATAAAATGACAAAAATATATTAAAAAACGCATTTTTTATCGTGTCTCGAAACAAAAATTAAAGTTTCTTAAGACTATTAAAATATGAAAGCAATCTTTCTTTATATTTCCACCTTTTTATTTTATTTTCGAAATCAGCGAAGACCAGTCGTAAATATATGAAATAATCGCGAATGTATACATGAAATATCCTGTAGAATAGGCAACTATTCCGCAAACGATTCTTCAGAAACTGGACTTCTATATCCGGAGGATTACACGCGCGCATTTTTCCGAGAGTACGTCAATTTTAGCGCGGAACAGTTCAAGTCCTGTCGTCGCATCCTGGTACGATATACGCGGATGACGCATCGACCGTTCATTCAATCAGCCTCTCTCTCGACAATGAATCGACAAAAATATACATACACATACGCCCGAAGACGATTTCTCGCTTGGCGATTGACCAGATATAATCGGTATACGCGCAAAATATAGCCCAGGAATCCACGGCATCCGGACATTTTTGCGTATCCCAGAACGGAGGCGGCCTGGATCCTCTCGCCGTCGTCATTCAACGAGAATTCAACCGCGAAAGCGAGCGAGAGAGAGAGAGAGATGAATCAGTCCCCGTCTTGCGATATATTTCTCCAAATATAACGCGCCACGCGCGCGTCCGTCAATCAGCTGGTCCGCGTGCCGCGCTTATTATAGGCTTTATGAGTCGACACACGCGTCCCAAAATAAACGCCACGATGTATGTGTATGTACGCACAGGTGACCCTCCACCGTCGCTATATAGCCGCGGAATTTCTCGAAAATCGCGCCCGGAATCCGATCAACACGCCGAGTTAAAGTGGGTTAACTTTGGACCGCGCGTGTATACAATACATTCAGGATGCATCATTGGGAGATGATTCGGAATTGAGATCGCGATCATCATTGAACATTACAGTTTTAACATCAAACGAGGAATGTTTCCTGTTGTACTGGGGAATTGGGGAAAAATATCGTTCATCTTTCTTCTACGTCTCTTCCATCAAATCCATTAGAAAAGCTCTGATCTCAAAAAAGTGGAATCAAATAAATATAATGTTGTAATTAATATTTGGACAAATAACTTGGGATTGATAAGAATGTTGGTTCTTATAGATTAATTCATGGAAAGATAAAATAAAAATTAATAGAAACTAATAATAGAGAGCACTGATATTTTCAGCCTAGAAAATCTAAGATTAGCCGGTTCGTTTTGACATTTCATAATATTTTGACAAAATAACTGGCGGCATTCGCATCTCTCAATGCCCAAATTAAATCGGGATCACTTCGTCGAATCATCAATGTCATTGACATTTCGAAAGCGAAACTCTTTTTCTTTCCTCTCATTTATATAGTATTTTATTGATAACAAGAAATAAACACGAAAAATAATTAGCTACTATATACTATATTTTAGCTGTCCTTATGTTATACATAAAAATTAATTATCTTGCCTAAATTTTAACTGGAATATAATATGTCTTAGCTATAAAATTCTTCTTAAACAATAGCTAAAAAACTATTACATATAGCTAAAATTGAGGCATGATAACTAAATTTCATGATTAAACACACTCAATATATCAATTAAGATATACACCCAATCAATTAAATTTCATGTGTAATTAAGGGACAGCTAAAATTTAGCTATATGCTTTGTTCCACGAATGAGAAGATAATCTCACAAATTTATCGTTTCCACAGATGACTTTTCGATCATATAAGGCTATAATCTTCATTTAAACTTTTTGTACTTGCGGCGAGAGTACCTCGATGCTGGTCGGATAATTGAAATAAATCCCGAAGAGAAGAGCGGGATTCTCCCGAGAGATCCAGAAGACGTGAGAGCGGGAGGGCTTTTCGCGATCCTTCATGTATCGGTTATGCTCCGCAATGATACCGTTCCCGGTTTCGTCCGGGTTTCGCGGATAAAGCAAGGCAGACTACTTCTCGCGGTATGTTTCTGCGATTTGTTCTTATTGCATTCGGGAACTCGTCGCTCGGCATTCCGCCGCGGTCGGAATTTCTATTTCATAATAACATGCTGTGTGCACGACGGAGTTTGGCGCGCACGAAAGAGAGAGAGAAAGAGTGGAAGAGAAAGAGGGACCCACCAGAAGAGATCATCTTTTGCTTCGCGCACCTTTAGCCTAGTGTAGCGCACCTTTAGACGAGTGTCCACTTCAGACTGGTTTCGACTCGATGGACGAACTCGAGTGCACTCGATGTGCATAAATATGTGTGTGTGTGTGTTGAAGTTAAACCCAACATAAAGTCGTAGTGGTCACCGACTTCTGTCTGTCTGTCTAGATCTGCCGACTTTGATCTCTTTGATCCATTATTTTTAGGGTGTCTGTAATTGAGCGCCGAGTCTCGAGTCGTCGCAAAATTCATTAGCGAGACTCACGTCTTAATTTGTCGGATCGGTGTATACAGTGCTCCTCCCCTTGTATTGTTCAGATTTCACGAATCTGACTCGGCTAATTGCTTGACACAATTGAACGCAGCGAAGCGGAGTCCTATTACTGACAATGAGTCTTATTATCCTTATATAGAAGACAAGTCGGATAAGAAGATAGAAGGCCCGATGTAAGGATAATCTTATACAAGACTGGGAAAGATTAATTCCGAAAGGACAAATTTAATTTGGACACACCGCGAATTATTGTAGATCATACATTATCTCGTATTCGCGTTATTAATATTTGATTGGCTCTTTTAATTCCCTTTAGAATTAAAATTTAATTATATTGATAGAAATAGCTTGAAAAGTAAACTCTTCTTCGCTTTTGTAATAAAGAAAAAAATTATAATTTAATTAATCTAAAATAAATAATTCATAAATGACAAGAGTCAAATTTAATATCATGCGTTAATTACATTATCAGTTCGGCAAGTATGATTTCAAGATTGACAACCTTTGAAGCATCATCGACTTCAATTACAAGCTGTCTCGCCGAAAAAGACCGTCGACGAAATCTTTCAACAAGACGCATAAAAAAATAATGTATTTTAATTAAAATGAATGCTGTTCATTCCTCGCCAAGTATAAATCGGCGAAGTAGGTATCTTTTCTCTATATCAGCCATGCCGCGAGAGAAATTAGGTAAACGGCCAATAATAGCACACGTATATTTTCCCAGAATCCTTGAAGAAACACGCTTTTAGATCTCGCTTCCGGCAAGCTTCTTTTTCTTCCTACCGCGCGAGAGATCGCGCGCGCGATCAATCGATCGATCGACCGATGTCAAAAGGCGCGGCTCCTCGTTTCGCGAAAAATATCGTGCTTTTAGACGCGCGAGACTCGAAGAATTTGTGGAAAAAAAGTTTCTAGAGCTTCGGAGAGTTCGTCGACTCCGAAAAAATAAATATTAACCGATCGTCCCCCTTTTTTTTTTCTCCCGACGAGGAGATGCCGCTTCCTTTCTTCCTCGAAGCGCGACTTTTATTGCTCCGTTCGACCGATCGATCCATCCGGAGGAGGATCCGGAGCTTCTGTGAAACCGCAAGCGCGGGACTTGAATGCGTTCTCCAACGCGTCGATCGAAGTGACGTATCGACAGGTCGCAGGACAACTATTGCGTTCCCCTTCTCGCTTTCTCTTCTCCGCGTGCAACTTCGTTTTTCGCATTTATTTTTGTTGGATACGTTGTACCGCGAATGTATATATGCGCAAGGTTTTTCACTCGTATCATATACGCGGTACATATTCGCACACGCAATCGGCTCGTCTATATACGAGCAAACATATTAATTCGCAGAAGTGGAAAAACGCGAAATCGTCCGATCAATCGAAATCGCCGATTTCCTAGACCTAGCTTGTTTTCGGAGTAAACTTAAATTTCGGAAATTTTTAAACAGTCGCGATTAGAATGGAAATTATATCTTCGTTGGAAATATGTTCGTAATGTATATACATAAATCTCTAATGATACCTATATCTATTCATATTTGTATTTATTAATTGTGTGTATTAATTATTCATTACGTTAATTATTCAACAACATAAGTAAAGGAGTGATTTTGCGAGAGATGTACTGCTGCATTTTTAAATTATTTCCAGTTTTAAAATTAAAATTAAATTTTGGCGTTTGAAATTTGAATTGACGATTTCGGCAAAAATTGAAGTGACTTTACCTGCGGTTTGAAATACGCGAAGATCCCGTCGTCTTCTAGACTCTTGTTCGTCGTGCGACAGCTGCACTTGTTTCAGGTACTCTCTATGTGCTCTTTCATACTCGGCCTGGCTCACGTTAGCCTGAAAACAAAACATCGTAATGGTTTCTTTAAAGACTCAATCGTTTATGTAACGTTGCGTGTATAATAGCGGCAGAATAATGACAACGCATATACGCATATATGGTAAATATATAGTATCTACTCTTGGAAATGCATTCTTACTCTTCTTCAAAGTTTTACATAGTATCTATATGCACCTATATACATTCTCTCTCGTTCCCTCCTTGTCTTTTCATTTTGCATTTTTGTAATATTTTTAAGTAAAAACTATTTTTAAAAAATATAGCAAGGCGCAAAACGTTCACTAGGTTGTCTGAACTCTCGATTAGCTTAATTGATTATTCTCAACTAACATATATAAGATCCAGCGAGGTCGAATAAAGAGCGATAATGACATATGTAACATAGAATTTATCTAATTTTCTGGGGTCACGCCGGGGCTTCTCGGCTCGGTTCTTCCTCGTTTCTTCTCTTTCTTTCTCGTTCTCTGCTTCAAGAACTTTTTCCTTTCTCTTACTTCTTCTATTTTTTAAATATTTTTTACTTGTATATCTCGTCTTTTTTAATCCTTTTTCTTCCTCATCTACTACTCGACCGGCTTCTTCGAGTCCACTCCAAGCTACTGTTTCATGCGGCGATGAATCTGGCGAATATATTCTTTTCTCTTCTCACCATGAGAAAGACCAGACGATGACGAGTCGGTGCTCGTAAAATTAGCTCGTTGAAACCGTAACCATTGACGCGGTTCTAGCAGACGAGGGATAATGGACCACTAGAGGGTGTGAGAACTCTCTCAAGTCTCTCGTAGAACTCAAAGAGTTGAGATCCTACGGTGGAGACACTTTTATTTTCCAGAGAAAATTTTTAAAGCAATTTTAAATCAAAGCTTCCTTTACTTACGACCTCACAATTAAAATAAATGATTTTTCACTCAAAAATTAGTATTTTAAAAATTGTGTGCATTCCAACACTCAGTGTCCAGCAGACTCGATGAAAAAAATTCCCTGACTTATTTTTCAGATTTTCCAAGACCAAAAATTCATTTTTTCCCTGACTTTTTAGTATTATTTTTTCCAAATATATCATTTGTATATATCTATATGATAAATCATGAAATCCTTGAGATATTTTTGTCAACAGTGAAAATGTTTGGAAGTTAAAACAAAAATTTAAATCAATTATACTATCTGCATTATGTACGATAATCGAAGCAAATAAGGAAAAGTTTATATTTATTTAATAAAAATTTCAAATTATTGAGATAAATGTAGAATAATGTGAAAAATCCAGATAAATAGGAAAACTTCCTGACTTTTCCCTGACAACTCCAAATTTATAAAATTCCCTGAAATACCCGGTTTTCCAGATTTCCTGACACTATTTTTTTTAAATAATTTATACAATATAATAAATCATTTTTGTGCATTCAATTAAATTGATCAAATCTCTTGTAGTAAATAATATCTAAATATTCTAGAGAATCTCTCCAGCGCGGAAAAATATGACGAACGCAGAATTGCATCGTCATCGGTGACAACCGGAAGTAGTGGCGTCGAAGCGAGCAGGATGAATCATGATGATGATCTGCGAGGAGACGCAATGCGGCGGCGCCTCCGCAGTCCCTTTAAAATGACTTAACTGCTCTCTTAAGAGTAGCTAAACTGCGCTCGCAGACAGCAGTCGGTTCCGGTTGCAATTGACGCGCAGAAAACAAATTTGTGACTCGCGATGATGCGAGCGAAGGTGGATGTAAATTACATCGCGAAATGAGTCATGGAGTCCGAGAAACGCTCAGGGGCTTCTCTCCCTCTCTTTAACGATCTCAATTTTTTTCAATTTACCTATTACAAATCGCCGAATTAATTTTTATGATCGACACATCTCGTTTACGAGGAATTAATATCGTCGTGAATCAGCGACATCGGAAAAGAAAAAAACAGTTATCCTTATCGCTATCAAACATCTCGCGTATTATATGCTAATGTCGCAGCTACCAACTTGCATAAAACACAGGCCACTGATAGAGAAAGATAAGCAATATTATAAAAATAATAATTGAGCATATCTCTTCATCAATACGTGACATATTTGACATATGTAAGACGTTATAGAAAACTGATAAGATTTCATTTTATAAAAAATTTCTTTAATTTTGTCCTTTGTAAAAACAGTTTTACAAAGAAGCGTTGCTTCGATGTATATATTACGTTATTGCTTAAATCTGTGTTTTTTTTACAAAAATAATGATGTGAAAAAATGCGCCAATTAAGAATAAACATACTATCGTGTTTCTTGGTGGTGCAATCATTGGATATCGCTATAAATTTTATGCTAATGTACACGTAGACGTGTAAAATTATCGCGATATATATACATATATCACAATGATTGAAAAGATCACTATTACAGAATGATTTATCGTTTCTTCTACTCTGTAAAAATTCGAAATTATGTAGTTCAAAGACTTATCATGTGTGTATCATGAGAACGTTGTGAGTTTTGCACATACATATCTTTTCATCAATGCTAATAAATAAAGCAATTTACGATTGTGAATGTGTAGAAAGTGCATTCTTAAAATTGCTGAGCTGTATTTTAAATGAGAAATATCTGTCAAGAACCGTGCGAAAACGCTTTAAGTAAAAAAGTTTTACATTTCGTTACAAATATCTTAATACTCTATATAATAAATATTTCTACAAGTAATATATATATAAATTTATTTCACGGAATATTAATATTTCCCGCGAAAAATATATTAATGCTTCAAAGTTATTTCAATACCGATTGTAAATTATCTATGCACCGATTAGCGTGAAAGCAAAACTTGCGTGTATGCAACTTTTATTCGCTGATATGCGAATTGCAATGTGCAATAATGTACCGCAAATATTCACCCATCAATATTAATGGCTATGCAATAGTATTTAATTCCTCACGGTAGCCCTTCGACATTGTGCAACAATCAATGTGCAAATTATCAATGCTAGTTCTCACACGTTTATGCAACGTATCTGCAATATAACGGAGAATGTTTCTATTATATTATAAGGCGCTCATCTTCGAGAAAAGATTTTCAACTCGCAGCTGTCTACTTTCGATCAATTTTTATTTATTTTTATTTTATGGAGAATACAAAAAAAAAGAAAGAAAGAGAAAGCTAAGAATATCTTATTGAAATTTTAATGAACAATTGATCGTCTCGAATATATATACTGTTTATCTCTCGATTATGCTATTATGCGCAGATCTGAAGAATCTGAAGAGTATATTTGCATACTTGGGATACCTGAGAGCGTTTTCACGCAAATCGGATTTATTTATTTTGCTCGTGTAAAATACAAGATCTCGCGTAGATCTCGAGATGCGAGTAAAGTGTCTGCTTTCGTTCTGGGATCTCCGAGCAGAAGCCAGGTCTCAATTTTGTGTGCAACAAGTATGTCCCGGATGTCTTCAATTGCGGGGCCTTTTGATTGATTAATGACAGATATCCGGATGTCTCGGATATTTTAGAGGCGCGTCGAATGTCCCGAATGCAACAAATAATCAGAGTGTCCAGTAGACTCAATGAAAAAATTCCCTGACTCTTTCAGACTTTCCAAGAAATTCATTTTTCCCTGACTTTTTAGTATTATTTTTTCCAAATATATCATTTGCATATATCTATATGATAAATCAATTCAATGTTAAATCATAAAATCCTTGAGATATTTTTGTCAACAATGAAAAGGTTCGGAAGTTGAAACAAAAATTTAAATCAATTATACAATCTGCATTATGTGCGATAATCGAAGCAAATAAGGAAAAGTTTATATTTATTTAATAAAAAATGTCAAATTATTGAGACAAATGTAGAAAATAGTGAAAAATCCAGATAAATAGTAAAATTTTCTGACTTTTCCCTGACAATTCCAAGATTTATAAAATTCCCTGAAATAGCCGGTTGTCCAGATTTCTCTGACCACTAGACACCCTGATAATAAAATACAGTCGCCGGCAAATATCGCATGCCTTAGAAAATTATTAAGTTATTATCTACTGTTTCTACATACTGTTACTATACCATTAACGATCATTAAAAAAAAAAACGTGAAGGCGGAGCCTCGCATTTTTCCGTCCGTGGAAAAGAATGTCGTACATTTCTAAGAACGAACGGAGAATAAAAAAATTCATTTTTATCTTATATAAAAGAAAGTGTGAATATTCACTTTTTACAAATAAAAAATTTAAAAGAGTTTCGCTAGAGATCGAAAACGCGGCTCGCGTGTCTAATCCGCGCTCGTCAATCTATATATATATATATAATAGTAGTTTCAATTTGCAATTATCGCAAATAAAAAATTTTTTATCCTTATCTCATCTCGATTCATTTAATCGCGAGTCCTTCCACATTATCGGCTACCGACGTTTTCCGCCGCGTTAACAAAAAAAAAAAACGACGTGAGAATTTTTCACGCGATCTCACGAGTCCGCTTTAGTGACGCAATAACGCGCGTTAATTCCCTTCCTTTTTTTTATTTTTTATATAGGCGTGTGCGCGTCGAGAAACGCGTGTACATACGAGAGACGACGTTTTGAGAATAAACACGAAGGTATAGAATGCATCAGCACCGCGTTGGGCGCGTGCATTAACGAGGCTTCCACGTCCAGACAAGATTCCGGCACGTCGTCGACGTCGTCGTCGTCGTCGTCGTCGTCGAAAGCTGCTTTCTCTTAAAATTTAAGCCAATCATAAATCTCGTTAGCGTCGATTCAAACCGTGCGATCATGGTGTTTGTTGTCGCGGCGCGGCTTCGGCTCGCCTTTGTGTCATTTTCTCGGCGTCAGGTTTTCAGTCAAACTACTCTCTTTCTCTCGCTCGTGAACAAGGGACAAACTTATGGCTCATTGTACTGTATCGAAATAAGGTATATTTTGTTAGCGAGATGTGAATTAAAGTGAAACGCGTTAAGAGATTTCTGAGAAACTCAACATGACTTAATAACTTGATAATTCGATCATTAAATATTTATTTTATTA